ATGGATACTGCATGTATCCATAAGTTACTTTATTCATAAATACTTTATCCATATAAAATATGGATACAGAATATAGTAAAACACTCCAATATTTGCTATTATTTTAATTTAGAATATGTTTTGTGAGTCACTCATTATGTAGCAAATGCATATTATAAGATATCCCAGATCCACAGATATTTCACACCCATGTTTGTCCCTTTATAGTTCTCTAATGATGATCATGGAGCTTGGAAATATCTAGCAAATGCATTATGAAAAAAGCATTATAATAAAGATATAGCAAAATATATTAATGGAAAAGCTAACTTCACCAAAGTTTGAGTTTAATTTCCTGGTTGAACAGAGAATGGCAATGCTACCCAGGAATTGTACAGGAAAGTATTGCTCTGACCCTCCTCCCTACCTGCCTTCCCACCTCCAGCAAAAGACAGCCTGTGTTGCACTTTGAACCTCTTTTTCTGGATCTCAGACTAACCTGAGCTGTGACTCTAAACAGGATCCAGTGTCCCTCTGAGTCTCAGTTTACCCTGTGTAAAATGGGGACAGTAAAATGGGGCCTCTCTGAAGTCATCAGTCTTGACAGCTGGGGGCTCCAAGTCCAGGCTGTGTCACAGCAGGTAGGGCCATCTGAGCTCCCTAGGGAACTCCAGCTGCAAGAATTCAGGATGCATAGGCCAGTGCCAGTCTGGCCAAGACCAATACAGTGTCCTCTGGACACTTACATCCTGTTTACCGATGTAAGAGATGTAAAACATTGTCTGCTACATTAAAACAAACCAGAATGTATCAGGATATTCAGCAAAGTCACATCAATTTTCAACATAAAACTGATGATGTCAACTAAATTGCATGCCTCAGAAGATTTTTTCAGGTACCACCTGTCCACTCTCTTCTGTCTTTATGGTACTTTGGTGGATACTGTGCCTTTGAGCAAGTGTTTTGTTTAATCAAAATCTAATGGGTTTTGTTCAACAGAAATTTCTTTTGGAGAGGGATGTTCTGGTGCCCTCTGGTGACTTATCCCAAGAAAGGCAAAACTCAGTCTATAACACCTTTGTTTCAACCTTTTACATCAAATAATCCAGTTTTTGCCTTTTGAGTCCTGTATTACTTGCTTTTGGATTATTGCTTTTACAGTTAACTCTGTGATCCTTCAAGTAGCAGCTATGAAATTCTGTGTTGGTAATATGGACTCCAGACAAGCTCAGAATGGAAGCACTAATAAGCTACCTTGGTGGAACTGCCAAGTCTCTGGTATTGGTGATGGCTGTCAGTCCTAGCAGGGAAAGGGAACAGTCTGCTAGGAGCCCCACATTTTCTGGGCTGGCAGTCCAGGTGGCTGGCAATCCAGGTATCTGTTGCCCTCAACCCCCCTGCCCTTTTCTCTACCTCCCACCTCCATGGTTTTACTTCAGTTCTTGTTTGAGATGGCAGTTCCTCACAGGCTGGTTCCTCTTAGGGCCCTGACATGCAGTAACTGAGGACTGAACAGCTCTTGATTCTTGTGCCTAATTCTTGTGTTGCTAGAAATACCAGTATTTCTCTAAGGACCAACTTCATCAGAATCTTCAAAAACACTGCTTATATATCCAGACTCCTTGTATCCAGCCCCAGAATTGATGTATTAGAATCTCTGAAGGTGGAGATGAGAGCTGTGCATTTTAAATATCCCTAGGCAATTGTTAGGCAAGCCAAGATTTAGATATTGCTTCATAGATCTCTGACTCATCATCATGATATCCTCTGTCCACATAACAAGTGTGGGCCACTTTCCCACCTCATTGCCAACAGAATTCTTAAATCTGCACACCAGCCAGGGTACACAAGCTGAACTTCCTGGCTCCCATCCCAGGAAACACATCATAGAGTAAATTTCCCATCTCTTTCCTGAACCCATTTTTGCTCCCATCAGGCTATTTTTTTATTTACTTATTTTTTAACTACAGCATTCTGTCTTTTACTCCCATCCCAGCCCACCCCCCCATGCCCCCCACCTCCCTCCCATTTCCACCCTCCTTAGTTGTTGTCCATGTGTCCTTTATACTAATTCCTGTAAATCCTTCCCCTTTTCCCCCTGAAATTCCCTCCCCTCTCCCCTCCAATCACTGTCCCCCTGTTCTCTATTTCAGTGTCGTTTTTATTTTGCTTGCTTGTTTGTTTTGTTGTTTAGCTTCCTGTTAAAGGTGAGATCATATGGTATTTGTCTTTCACCACCTAGCTTATTTCACTCAGCATAATGCTTTTCAGTTCCATCCATGATGTTGCAAAGAGTAGTAGCTAGTAACTCCTTCTTTCTTTCTGCTACATAGAATTCCATTGTGTAAATGTACCATAATTTTTTGATCCATTCATTTACTGATGGGCACCTAGGTTGCTTCCAGCTCTTGGCTATTATAAATTGTGCTGCTATGAACATTGGGGTGGATAGGTTCTTTTGGATTGGTGTTTTAGGGTTCTTAGGATATAGTCCCAGCAATGGAATTGCTGGGTCATAAGGCAGGTCCATTTTTAGTTTTCTTAGAAAATTCTATACTGTTTTCCATAATGGTTGTACCAGTCTGCATTCCCACCAACAGTGACCATCAGGCTATTATATTGCATCTGATATATACATATTCCTAGAACCATTTATATTTAGGGAAAATAAAAGCTACTTACCAAAACAATTATGTTGTGTTTTGGTAACTTTGCTCAGATGAGACATCCTTTGTCTTTCTTTATGTCTATCAGTCTGTCTTTCTGTCTGTGGTAGGAATGGCACTTAACAGGAATTACTTCAAAGTGAGAGTTTGTTAGTTAGAGAGAAACAGTTCAGGAACCTGAAATCCACACTAGGGTTCAGGGGTTCAGTGATGGGAAAGATAGTAAAGTCCAGCCTCTTTCCCAGGGCAAGAATCCCTTCCCTACATGTTCACTCAGGGGGCATTATCTCAGATACCAACTTCTGCAGCTGTCTGCCCTTCAACCTGTGTTCAGGTATATTTTATCTAAGCACCCAAGTGCTTCCTCACCCAGCAAGGCTCACAAAAGAGGCAAAGAACAAAATAGTCTATAAGCCCACTAACACTGGTCAGTAATGCTACAAATGCTGCTACTCACAGACTCTAGAGCAGGGCTGTCTGCCACTGTAGCCACAGACCACATGTGGTCATTGAGCTTTTGAAATGTGGCTCATATAGAGTGTGCTGTATGTGTGAAACACACACCAGATCCTGGAGACATAGTAAGATAACTCATTACTAATTATATATTTGAAATGATAATATTCTGGTTACATTGGGTTCTATAGAACATATTACTAAAATTTATTTTACTTGTCCATTTGAACTTTTCAAATTTAGCTACTAGTACACAACTTAAAATTTTTTAACATGGCTCAGACCCTATTGGTCTAAACCTGTGGTATTTGCCTAATGTTCTCTACTGTGATGAAATTTGGGGGGCTGAAACAATTCCCCAGACTATGTGATCTGTCTGGTTCTTCTTAGATCTTATCCTTCTGGCTAGCCCTATCCTATTGGCCATCGAGTTGTGTGTTACATGATAGGCCTTGTAAGAATGCCCCAGGTTGCTCATTCATTGCTATATAACTGTCACTGTTAGAAGATTCAGTCTTACATATAAGCCAAAATATGGTTCCCTGGAACAGCTTTCTATGAGAATGAATGAGTCATGGTTAATGACTAGATAGTAACAAATTTATGCCATTTATTTAACCATTTCTCTATTGCTTGGTATTTAGTTCTCTATTGCTAGTCCACTTTCAGGTTTCTAAACATTGTATTATGATAACCATCCATACACTTAAATCTTTATATATGTGTTAAACAATTTCCTTTAGATGAATTCTTAATAATATATTTAAAACTCTTGACTCCATTCTTTGTAAAGCTACATGAACAACATAAAATATATTTTACCTTCATAATTCTAATAAAAATGTAACTTTTGTTAAAAATTTTACATTAAAATGATTTAAAATAAGTAAAAAAATGATAATTTATTGTTTTTCTTTTCTGTAGTGGTATGATACTTTAACTTTGTTAATTTATTTAGAACTTAATTTCATCTCAAGCTCCTTTTCTGTTAATGGTAGAAGTTAAGTAGAATTCAATTGCTAGTTTTTACATACATGTTTTCTTTGAGAGGTGCTGTATGCATTTGCCACAAAAAGGTACCATGCAATGTGCATTTTTCTATGCCTTCAATATCGTATTTTTCTTAGTGTTTGATCTTTAATTTTACTCTTCAATCATAGTTTATATTCAATATTATTTTTATTAGTTTCAGGTGTATAGCATACTGATTAGAAAATCATATACTTTTCAAAGTTTTTCTCCTGATATTTCAAGTACCCACCAAGCACCATACATAGTTACTACAATATTATTGTCTATATTACCTATGCTGTACTCTACATCATCATGACAATTTTGTGACTACAAATTTGTAGTTCTTAATCTATTCAGCTTTACCACCCAGTCTCCTAAACTCCTACCCTCAGGCAACTATCAGTCTATTCTCTGTATCTGGGAGTCTGTTTCTATTTTGTTTGTTCATTTATTTTGCTGTTTAGATTCCATATATCATTGAAGTCATATGGTATTTGTCTTTCTCTGTCTGGTTTATTTCACTTAGCACAATACCCTGTAGTTACTGAATGGTAAGAATTCATTCTTATTCAAGGCCAGGTAATATTTTGTTGTATATATGTATCACCAATTTATTTATTTATTTATTTATTTATTTATTTACTTCCTTCCTTCCTTCTTTCTTTCTTTCCTTCTCTCTCCCTTCCTTCCTTTCCTACTTCCTTCCCTTCCTTCCTTCTTTTTTTTTTTTCTGCAAAAAGCTTTATTATTTCCATTTGGTCCAATGCATGGGAGAGGGTTCCAGGTGAGGCTCCAGGTGGGGTTTCATGGTGAGGCTCAGGCAAAAGCCAGACACCAGGGAAATACAGAGGAGCCCCTCAAGGGGCTCTAGGCTGCAAAGGCTTTCTAGCCATGCTTAAGGGTGAGCCTTTCAAAGAGGTACTCATACCTTCCAGTCTGGGGATCACCCAGCCTGTGGATGTTAGTCAGGTGGTTGCTCATCTTCTTGAGGAGTTTCACTTCTTCATCCAGGAAATGGTTCTCCAGGAAGTCACAGAGATGAGGATCTCTGTGGGTAGGAGCCAGGGTATGCAGATCTAAAAGGGCCTGGTTCAGGGTCTTCTCCAAGGCCAAGACTGCTTCCATGATGTCCTGAGTTTTACTCCACTCATCTTAGGAAGGCTTCGCCATGTCCTAGAGAAGAATGCAGCCACCACACTGCTTTTTCAGCTTTATGAAACACTCAGAGTCCTCACACTTCCCCTCAGCTAACTCTCGGAAGAATAAGCCTATGCCCAGCTGAGCCACAATGTCCCAGTTGAAATAGAAACCCAGAGAGATGTAGATGTAGGAGGCCCATAAATGCAGGTTGGCCAAGCAGTTGACAGCAGCCTCCACCTCGGTGGAATAATTTTGGCGAATTTGGGAGCTCATGGTTGTTTGGCAATGAAGAATTAAGGTCCAAAAAACGGTGCCAGCTGGTCTCAGAGGCTGAGGAAGGCTGAGGTGGTTTTGAAGATGGTGACTAGAAAAGAAGATAGAGGGTAGTTGGAAAGAAGGGGCATCCCTAGGTCTGTTCCATCCAAACCCTGTTGAAGCAAGAGAGAGATCCCAGGGCTGCTGAGGGCACTGTCCAATTTTTAAAGTATATTTTATTGATTATGCTATTACAGTTGTTCCATTTTTTTCTCCCCTTTACTCCCCTCCACCCTGCACACCTTTTCCCACCAGCATCCTCCCTGCTTAGTTGATGTCCATGGGTCATACAATATGTTCTTCAGCTTCTCCATTTCCTACACTATTCTTAACTTGCCCCTGTATATTTTGTGCCTACTATTTATGCTTCTTATTCCCTGTACCTTTTCCCACATTCTCCTCCAAACCCCTCCCCACTGATAACCTTTCATGTGATGTCCACCTCTGTGATTATTTATGCTCCTCTTCTAGTTATTTACTTACTTTGTTTTGATTTTTGTTCTTGTTTTTAGGTTTAGTTGTTGATAGTTCTGAGTTTGTTATCATTTTACTGTTCATAGTTTTATCCTTTTTTTTTCATAGATAAGTCCCTTTAACATTTCATACAATAAGGGCTTGGTGATGATGAACCTCTCTAACTTGACCTTGCCTTGGAAGCACTTTGTCTGCTCTTCCATTCTGAATGATAGCTTTGCTGGATAGAGTAATCTTGGATGTAGGTCCTTATCTTTCATGAATTTGAATACTTCTTTCCAGGCCCTTCTTGTCTGTAAGGTTTCTTTTGAGAAATCAGCTGACAGTCTGATAGGAACTCCTTTGTAGGTAACTGTCTCCTTTTACTGCTTTTTAGATTCTCTCCTATCTTTAATCTTGGGTAATGTAATTATGATGTGCCTTTAATCTTGGGTAATGTAATTATGGTGTGCCTATGGTGCGTGCTTCTTTGGGCCCAATCTCTTTGGGACTCTGAGCTTCCTGGACTTCCTAGAAGTCCATTTCCTTTGCCAGACTGGGGAAGTTCTCCTTCATTATGTTTTTGAATAAGTTTTTGATTTCTTGCTTTTCTTCTCTTCCTTCTGACACCCCTATGATTTGGAGGTTGGAATGTTTAAAGTTGTCCTGGTGGTTCCTAAACCTCTCTCATTTTTAAAAAAAATTTTTGTTTCTTCATTCTGTTCTGGTTGACTGTTTATTTCTTCCTTCTGCTCCAAACCATTGATTTGAGTCCTGGTTTCCTTCTTGTCACTGTTGGTTCCCTGTATATTTTCCTTTATTTCACTTTTCATAGCCTTCATTTTTTCCTCTATTTTGCAGATACTCAACCAATTTTTTTTAGGGGTGATGAAAAAGTTTATTATTATGTTTGATGGTTAAGGGGTTTACATGAATGTCAAAACTTATCTAATTATACAGTTTCAATATGGATAAATTATTGCATGTTGTTTGTACCTTATTAAAACTTGAAAAATAGGTGCAAATTAAAGGCTGGATTTCTTACCCTTTAGAAAATCAGGTTTGGCAACTGAACTGACTCCACATCTTCTCTCCTCATGAGGCAGACACTTGCCTGAGTGGCAGCAAAAATAGGTGAGCACTGAAGGGTGTTTCACTTTACTCACAGGAATGCTGACTAGGTCACAAATACTGAACTGAGATCTCCTTTCTTGTGTTTCTGCACAGTGGTGACCTTACGTGAACAGCCCAGAGGGGCCACAGAAACCCACAAAACCTTTACATTTTCTCTGACAGGACCCTTAGCTACACAAGATACATAGTTCCTGGAGGGCCTGAGAACATCTGTACCTGCTCATCCTTCTCAGCTATAGGTACTAAACATTGTGGACCTTTCAGAGGAGGTCCACAAATAAATAAAGGTAGAGCCTGCTAACCAGTTTATGGCAGTTTCCTGCACTCTATTAATCCAGTGTTCCTGTAACAACAATCATTCTCCTGGACCCTATAATCTTAAAACCAGTGACGTTATCCCACAGAATTCAGGACATCAGGGCCCATGGCTCCACTGCAGGACCCGTGGGATAGATGTCCTCTCACCAGTGCAGAGCACAACACAATAGCCCCTGTGAACAAGAAAACAAGTTCACACTGCTCTTAGAGGTTGTCACAAGGACGCCCTCTTCAGGTTGAACTCTGAACCGACAAAAGTCATGGCATCCAAGCCGCAAAATAGGAGCCCAAAGCTCTGCAGTCTTTCCTTAAAGGCTCTGAGCAGCAATGCAAACTAGGCCAAACCAGAAGAGGTATATTCTACCATCATATTATATATACACTCTGAGACACACAGTTTGGGATCCCAACCAAAGCTGTTCACCCCTGCATTCTAACAAACCCAGTTAATTTCAAAGCACCCTGAACAGTGACTAGAACCCCCAAGATTAAAGACCTTCACTGTCATACAAAAAAGAACAATGATAGGCACAGTTCCTGGGTTGGTGACTTGGAGGCTGGAAAATGCCATCACAGAAGTCACGTGAAACCAACAATACCCCTGAAAAATGTAGTCCCAACAGTGCCCTAGGCCAAAACTGGGTAAGATCCATGCACTAACTCATCAGAGAAGGAAAAACTAGGTAATGAGTTAAGTGCTCAGGTTATTAGCGAATCATTCTGCAAATGAGAGCACACTGGGGCTTACTCCCTGAACATTTTGGGATGGATAAATGTTGCACACTGTGGGCTCCAGCCAGGAGGTAGAGATGAAATGGCTTCTGTTACAAACTGCCAGTGACATAAATCTGGCCATGGCCCTGGGCAGGTAAAAAAAGGGCAATGCTATTCCCACATACCTGAAATTTATATTGATGTTTACATGTATGAGGGAGGCTCAATACAGGCAAATGGCACCTTCCTAAGGGACCTCCTCCAGTGATGGCTCACTGAAGATATAGTATATACTTGTGCAGTTAAGGCAGCTCTTCCATTTTAAATCTGTGGTATCCAATACGGCAAGTCCTTTGACTGAATGCCTTCTCATATTCACTGCACTTACAAGACCTTTCTCCACTGTCATTGTCTAGATCACAGGTAGCAAACATAAGGCCAACAAGCCAAATCCGGCTCTCTACCTTGTTGTATCCAGCCCAATACGGCAAGTCCTTTGACTGAATGCCTTCTCATATTCACTGCACTTACAAGACCTTTCTCCACTGTCATTCTCTAGATCACAGGTAGCAAACATAAGGCCAACAAGCCAAATCCGGCTCTCTACCTTGTTGTATCCAGCCCGGCACCTTGTTTCTACCAGTGGCAATGCTGAGCTCTCACTTAACTGGTACAGAGTAATTACATTTACACAGTCCTAAAATTGCATTTGGCTCTTTGTAGGCAACCTTGAGGTTGATGTGGCTCCAGGTGAAAATGAGTTTGACACCCCTGCTCTAGATGTAATGAGGCTGGATTTTGATAAATGATTTCTCACAATGCCATGCTCAAGACTTTCATCCAATGTGATCTGGTGTTTTAGGAGTCTGGGGTTAAAGGTAAATAACTTCCCACATTCCAATACTCCTAAAGCCTTTATCTCGTGTGAACTCTCTGGTGTTTAATGAGGCTAGAGCTATGGTTAAAAGATTTCCCACATTTACTACACTCATAAGGCCTTTCTCCAGTGTGAATTCTGTGTTTGATGAGACTAGAGTTTTGAGTAAAAAATTTCCCACATTCACTGCACTCATAAGGCCTTGATCCAGTGTGAACTCTCTGGTGTTTTAACAGACTGGAGCTGTAAGTAAAGAACTTCCCACATTCACTGCACTCATAAGGCCTTTCTCCAGTGTGAACTCTCTGATGCTGAAGAAGCGCAGAGCTTTGGCTAAAAGATTTCCCACATTCGCTGCATTTGTAAGGCCTTTCTCCACTATGAACTCTGCGGTGTTCAATGAGGCTGGAGTTTTGAGTAAAAGATTTTCCACATTCACTGCATGCATAGGGCCTTGATCCAGAGTGAACTCTCTGGTGTTTTATGAGACTGGAGTGGTAGGTTAAAAACTTCCCACATTCACTGCACTCATAAGGCCTTTCTCCAGTGTGAACACTCTGGTGTTGAAGAAGTGCAGAGCTTTCACTAAAGGATTTGCCACATTCATTACACTCATAAGGCCTTTCTCTGATGTGAATTCTTTGGTGTTTAATGAGGTTGGACTTGTTGCTAAATAATTTTCCACGTAAGTCACACTTATGAGGCCTTGCTCCAGTGTTAACTCTCCAGTGTTGAATGAGGCTAGAGCTTTGCCTAAAGGACTTCCCACATTCCCCACACTCATAAGGCTTTTCCCCAGTATGAACTCTCCAATGGTCATTGAGGCTATAGCTTTTGCTGTAAGACTTTCCACATTCACTGCACATGTAGCATCTTTCTCTAGTGAAAACTCTCCGGTGTTCAACAAGTGTGCATTTGCAATTGAAGTCTTTTGTGTATTCTCCAGAGTTACATATAGTTTTTCCCCTGTGAGAGGCTGCCCTACACTCAGTTCTCCTCTTTGACTTCTCCTTGGTGCATGTGGCCTGATGCTGGAGAAATCCTGAGCTGGCTAGGAAGTCCTTCACAGCCTCTCCATAGGAAAAGGGTTTCCCTGACATACAGAGAATTTGCAGTCCTTTACAACTGAGGCTCTGCCCATGTTGCTCCTGAAGTACTTCTATCCCATGTGCTGCTTCTGATGCTGAAGTTCCACACTGACATACAACTGCTTCTCCCATGCCTCTATCTTGCACAGTTTCTGCCCATGACATGTCCCTGGTGCTTGGTCAAGCGCAAAATGTCTCTCAAGTTCATACCACATATCTCACAAGGATGGGCCTTCTGGGGAGACACACCCGCCTTGGGAGTCCAGACCTGTGACATTCCTTGTAAAGAATCACGGTGCTCAGAAGGTACCTCCTCATTCTGGGCTCCATGCCAACAATCCAAGGAGGTTATAAGTGCCAAGTTCTCCAGCATCACATTGTGGTACGGATGTCTCTGAGCCTCATTAAGGAGATCCCATTCCTCCAAGGAGAAGTACATAGCCACATCCTCAAAGGTCACCCTCAGCCAGGCGCCTCCTTGAGGGCTCCACCAACAGACTCTGTGGGCGGGGCTGGGCGGGAGTGAACACCGAGGCGGTCCGGGGCACTGGCACGGGGGTTCTTGTTTTGGCCTTGCCACGAGACATACAGGCAGCGCCACCGAGTCGTACAGCTGCAATTATGCAGCAGGACCACGACTGTCTAGCTTTCTGGACCAGGCACCTCAACCCTAACTCCCTGCTCTGGAGTCTTAGAGTGCCTCAACCAATTTTATGAGAATCCTGATTACCAATGTTTTGAACTGTGCATCTGATAGATTGGCTATCTCTTTGTCACTTAATTGTATTTTTTTTTCTGGAGTTTTGATCTGTTCTTTCATTGGGCCTTTTTTTTTGTCTCAGGACACCTGTTATATAGTAAGGGGTTGAGCCTTAGGTATTCACCAGGGCAGGGCAACCTACGTCACTGAGTTGTGGCACTGTATGTGCCAAAGGGGTCCAAAAGGTAACATTGCCACTTGTTCAACTCTCTGCCAGCTTTCGGTCACTTCCTCTGCTACCCACAAAAAATTGGGCCCATCTGGGGCTGATTCCTGGGAGGGTGGTTTTGTGTACATTCTAGGGCTCTGTGGGTCTCTCCCACAACCTCTCCTGTGAGGCTGGGGGTTTCTCCAACCACCTCAACCATCACAGATTCTTTTCAGTCAAAGGTTTTGAGGTTTTATTTCCCTGCGCTGGAACCCTGTGTTGCATGATCTGTCTTGCTCCTCAGTTGTTCCTCCCAGTGTATCTGCACGCAAAAATGGGACTGCCTGCTCGGCCAGTCACCACTTCACCCTCTCCTCCAGCTGCCACCTTGCCACAAGTCTTCTCCAGCCTAGCTGTCCATCTCTGCCCATCTCCATCCCTCCTACTGGTCTGGATGAATGCTTTTTTTTTTAACTCCTTGATTGTTGGACTTCCATACAGTTTGATTTTCTGGCAGTTCAGGTTGTTTTTTGTTTTTAAATTTGTTGTTGTCCTTCTTTTGGTTGTGTGAAGAGGCACAATGTATCTATCTATACCTCCATCTTGGCTGGGAGTCTCTCCCACCTCTTATTTATTCATTCAACTATTCATGGAAACCTGGATTGCTTCCATATATTGGCTATTGTAAATAATGCTGCATTGGGCATAGGGGTGCATCTGTCTTTTCAAATTAATGTTTTGGAGTTATTAGAATAAATGGTTATGTGGTAGTTAAATTTTTAATTTTTTTTTAGGAATCTTTATATTGTTTTCCATAGTGGTGGGACTGATTTCCAATTACACAGTACACAACAGTTCCCTTTTCTTCACATCCTCACCAACACTTGTTTGTTGATTTACTGATGATATCCATTCTGACAGGTATGAGGTGATTTCTCTCTCTGGTTTTAATTTGCATCTCTCTGATGGCTAGTGATGTTGAGCATCTTTCCATATGTCTATTGCCATCTGTATGGCCTCCTTGAAGAAATGTCTATTCAGGTTCTCAGCCCATTTTAAAATCAGATTATTGGTCTTTATGGTGTTAAATAGTATGAGTTCCTTACATATTGTTGATATTAAACCTTTATAAAATATATCATTATGAAATACTTTCTTAAATTCAATAAATTATCTTTTTGGTTTTGATGATTACTTTCATTGTGCAAAACTACTTAGCCTGATGCAGTCCTATGTATTTTTTTCTTTTGCTTTCCTTGCCCAAGGGGATATATTCAATCTATCTATTTATCTATCTATCTCTGAATCTATGTACACACACACATATGCTCTCTCTATTTATATCTAAGAGTAACATCAAAAAGTTTACTCCCTGTGTTTCCTTCTAGGAATTGTATGGTTTTGAATCTTACATTTAAGTCTTTAACCTATTTTGAGTTTATTCTTGTATATGGTGTGAAAAAGTGATCCAGTTTCATTCTTCAGCAGGTGTCTGTCCAGTTTTCCCAACACCATTTATTGAAGAGACTTTCTTTACCCCATTGTGCATTTTTGCTTCCTCCAACATAGATTACTGACCATATAAGCATAGGTTTATTTCTGGGCTGTCAATTCTGTTGCATTGACCTATGTGTCTGTTTTTAGACCAGTACCAAGTTGTTTTGAATACTATAGTCTTGAAGTATACTTTGATATCAGGTAGCATGATACCTCCAATCTTGTTCTTCTTTTTTAAGATTACTTTGGCTATACATGGTCTTTTGTGATTCCATATAATATTATTAAATAATCTAAAATTATTTTCACTTCTGTGAAAAATGTTATTGGTATTTTTATAGAGATTTTATTCAATCCATATATTTCCTGGAGTAGTATGAACATTTTAGTAATGTTAATACTTCCTGTTTGTGAGCATGGTATATATTTCCATTTATTTATATCTTCTTCAATTTTTATTTTTAATGCCCTATATTTTTCCAAATACAGGTCTTTAAGTTCCTTGGGTAAATTTATTCCTAGGTATTTTTATAAAGATTTTATTTATTTATCTTTAGAGGGAAAGGGAAGGAGAGAGGAAGAGAAACATCAATGTATGGTTGCCTTTTGTGCATCCCCTGCTGAGAACTGGCCTGCAGGGAACCGGCCTGCAACCCTGGTATGTGCCCTGACTGGGAATCTAACTGCAATTGTCTGGTTCGCAGGCCCGAGCTCAATCCACTGAGCTACACCAGCCAGGGCTATTCCTATGTATTTTTTGTTGCAGTTGTAAACAGGATTGTTTTCTTAATTTCTCTTTGTTATAGTTCATTGAGATGTATAAAAATGCAACCAATTTCTAAATAAAAATTTTGTATCCACCGACTGAGTTTATCAGTTCTAATAATTTTTTGATGGAATCTTTAGGGTTCTTTCTGTGTAGTATGCTGTTACCTGCAAATAAGGACAGTTTTCTGTCTTTCTTTCCAATTTAGATGCTTTTTATTTGTTTGATTGCTTTGGTTAGGACTTCCAATACTATGTTGAATAAAGTGGCAAAGGTGGGTATTGTTGTCTTTTCCTGATCTTAAAGGAAATGCTTTTGGCTTTACAATATTGAATATAATATTCACTGCTGGGTTGTCACATATGACATTTACAATGTTGAGAAATATTCACTCTCTTCTTACTCTGATGAGTTTTTATCACAAATGATTGCTGGATTACGTAAAATGCTTTTCTGCCTCTATTAATATAATTCTATTTTTTATCCTTTATTATGTTTATGTGGTGTATCACATTAATTGACTTGAGGATTTCTAACCAAACTTGCATCTCAGGAATAAATTCCACTGGATCATCATGAAGATTATTTTTTGAATTTTTAAATGTATTTTATTGATTATGCTATTAAAATCATCCCATTTCCCTCTCTTCATTCCCTTCTACCATGCACACCCTCTCCCATCCACATTCCCTTCCTTTAGTTCACGTCCATGTGTCTTAAGTTCTTTAGCTTGTACATTTCCCATACTATTCTTGCCCTCCCCCTATTTTCTGCCTGCCATCTATGCTACTTATTCTCTGTAACTTCCCCCTCTTCTCCTCCTCCCTCTCCTCTGTTGCTACCCCTCCATATGATTTCCATTTCTGTGGCTCTGTTTCTATTGTAGTTGTTCCCTTAATTTGTTTTTATTTTAGGTGTGGCTGTTAGTAATTGTGAGTTTGCTGTCATTTTACTATAGTGTTTTTTTATCTTCTTTTCCTTAGATAAGTCACTTTAACATTCTATAAAACAGGGGATTGGTGAGGATGAACTCCTTCAACTTGACCTTATCTGAGAAGCACTTTATCTGTTCTTCCATTCTAAATGAAAGCTTTGCTGGATAGAGCAATCCTGGATGTAGGTCCTTGTCTTTCATGACTTGGAATACTTCTTTCCAGGCCCTTTTGCCTGCAAGGTCTCTTTTGAGAAATCAACTGACAGTCTGATGGGAACTCCTTTGTAGGTAACTGTCTCCTTATTTCTTGCTGCTTCTAGGATTCTCTCCTTCATTTTAATCTTGGCTAATGTAATTATGATGTGCTTTGGTGTGTTCCTCTTTGGGTAAACTTTCTTTGGCACTCTCTGAGCTTTCTGGACTTCCTGGAAGTCTATTTCCTTTGCCAGATTGGGGAAGTTCTCCTTTATTATTTGTTCAGATAAGTTTTCCACTTGTTGCTCTTCCTCTTCCCCTTCTGGTACCCCTATAATTCAGATGTTGGAATGTTTAAAGATGTCCTGGAGGTTCCTAAGCCTCTCCTCATTTTTCTGAATTCTTGTTTCTTCATTCTTATCTGTTTGGTTGTTTCTTTCTTTCTTCTGGTCCACTCCATTGATTTGAGTCCCAGTTTCCTTCCCATCACTATTGGTTTCCTGTGCATTTTGCTTCATTTCACTTCATGTAGCCTTCATTTGTTCCTTTAATTTGTGACTAAAATCAACCAGTTCTGTAAACATACTGATCACCAATGTTTTGAACTGTGCATCTGATAGGTTGGCTATCTCTTGGTCACTTAGAAGTATTGGCTCTGAGGCTTTGTGCTGTTCTTCTGCTTGAGCCATGATGTTTTGGTCTGTTTGAGCCTGTTATGTATGAGAGGCAGAGCCTTAGATGTTCACCAGGGTGGAGCAACCCAAGTCACTGGGTTGTGATGCTATATGTGGGGGTGGGGTTCGAGAGGAAACAATGGCGCTTTGCTCCTCTCTCTATTGCACCTCAGTTCCTTCTGCTGCTTCACCCAAGCAAACTGGGCCTTTCTGGTGCTGATTTTCAGGTGGGTGGGCTTGTGTACATTCTAGGACCCAAGGTGTGTCTCTCCAATGAACTCTCCTGTGAGGCTAGGAGTCTCTCCCTGTGCCTCAACCCCCACAGGTATTTTCCATCAGTGTTTTGAGGATTTATTTCCCAGCCCTAGGACTCTGGGTTGTACAATCTGTCTTGCTCCCCAGTTATCTGTGTGGAAATGTGGGACCACTGCCCAGTCAGCCAGGCACCTTGCGCAGGGTGCCCTGCTTCTAAATCGCTGCCTCACTGGGTCTGCCTGTTGCCACCCCATGCCCAGGTTCTGCCAGCTGCTGCCTGGGCACCTAGGGTCTGCCCGGTGTGGTCTTGCACTCTCAGGATACCTTGCACACCCAGTATCACCACTTCCTGTGTGGCGACCTCTCTCTGCTCGACCACCCACTCCACCCTGCTTACCAGTCTGGATGAATGTGTCTATTTTAACTCCTTGGTTGTCAGACTTCCATACAGTTCACTTTTCTGTCAGTTTTGGTTGTAATTTTGTTTCTAAATTGTTGTTGTCCTAGGACTTCCGCCAAGACGCAGGCATAGGTGGGAGCACTTTTCGTCCTTGAACAACCAAATCTAAAAACAATAAAGTTTTAACAACAATAAACATAACCAAACCACACAGAAAATTGAATACAAAGTTCGGAAACAACACACCACTCAGCTAAACTGTTGAGAGGGGTGAAACCAGCAGTGGAGCCATTTGGGCAAAAAAGATACCGGTGGTGCACAGGCAGCAGGGGGCGTGGATCCCAGGTGCAGGCTAGCTACAGGCAGACACGGGGAAGAGGCTTCGCTGGCTGTCTGCGGTCGGTTGCACATTTGCACGCAGATAAACCAGTGAAGAGGCCAGCGTTGAGACAGATCTCGCAGGCCCCAGCAACTGGCGCAGGGCAGCTGACTCCCACATTTGCGCTCGGATAAGCAGGCCGAGGGGGAGTGGTGAGGCGACTGGGCGAGTAGAGAAGACCACCATTGCTCCCTCTCTGACCCCGCCCCCACATACAGCATCACAAACCTGTGACCTGGGTGGCCCCGCCCGGGTAAACACCAAGGCGCCTTTCCTCCTACGTAACAGGCATGAACAGATCAAAACATGGCTCAAGAACAACTCAGAGCCCCAGAAC